ATTAGCTCCAGTTAGTTGATGTCTATGTCATGAATTTCAAAGTCACTGATTAAAAAAGGTTTAGCTTTGACATGAAAACTTCTATCCTAAAAACCTTTCATAAATAAATAGTTCAAAACATTGTTTTGTAGGTCAATAATTTATAGCTTTGTTTTCTAAGAGGTAGTTATTGTGTAATTGTGATCTGGATAATATTTTCTATAAGAATTACTGGTCTGCAGGCATTAAAGGGAAATAACTTTTATTGAATCATTGTATAACAAAAATTTAATCAAAGATAGCAGGCTTATGATTTTGCTTACAAAAGATTCATCAATGAGACTCGAATAAGTAAACATTGAAATGCCAAATCAGTACGAAGTTGAAGAGTATTTAGGACACAAAGTTCTGAAAGGTTTTTCCAATAACTGCAGATTAGTAATCTAATCCTTGGTGGTAGAAAATCATAAGAACTTTGAACAATTCTTTTTTTATTTACAGAGGAATCTGTACGATTTATAGAACTTTGAATGTGTTCCATAATATGTTTTTAACAGGGTTTTTTCTCAAAATTTCAATCATTTTATAAATAAATGTCATGTTCTTTTTAGAACAGAGTATAATAGTTTAATATTTATGGAAATAATGTTACAAACAAATTCCTTATAAAATGAGGACACTTGATATTTGACAGAACTTTTAATCAACAAAATATTGCTGATTTTTCAATAATGTAAATTTTTTCCCTTTAATAATAGCAGATAAGTAGTTGCCATAGAAAAAAAAATCAAAGTTATAATTACGCACTAACTTGCTGTTAGAAAACAGAGCTATAAATTATTGACCTACAAAACAATGTTTTGAACTATTTATTTATGAAATTTATTTAGGATAGAAGTTTTCATGTCAAAGTTATACCTTTTTAAATCAATGACTCATATTATTGTAAGTCCTTATTTTGTTTTAAATTCATGACATAGACATCAACTAACTGGAGCTGGATGGTAAGTATTACTTTTATTTCACTGCACTCATTTCATACTAACAAACTTTCACTGAAGCAGTTTGATAAAATATTTTCTCTAATTTTTGTGCTATTTTCACATTTCTTGAGAGGTGTGAGAAAATATATTTCTCATCACTAGTGAAATATCTGTTCTCAGCAAATGATTGGTCGAAATTTATTTATGACGTTAAATTTTCTTGATTTCTTCTGAATTTCCTATTGTGACGTCCTGAAAAAGTGCGACCATGCATGATGACGTCACATATAAAGAACACAATTTTCTGAAAATCTTTGAAGAGAAAGGATAAAAATCATTAGAGAAACAGATTCCATCACTATAACTCGTGTATTATGATATTTCTCCACTCTCGACAGTTATATTTAATTATTTAAAAATCTCGGCAAGCCTCGTGCTTTAGATATTAAAATTTAACTGTCTCGAATTGAGAAATATCGTAATACACTTGTTGCAGTGATGGAATCTATATTTACCAGTTGATTAGTCTGAAGGAGAAGAATTCAAACTACAATTTGGTTAACTATTTTAGACATTGCTAATGTGATACCCATAAGCCCACTGAATAAGCACAGTAAAAAAAAACCATTGATCCCGATGTGTCATTTTTGTTAACATTTTATCATACTCCTTTGTTTCATAGTACATGTTGTATTCTAGCAAAACAAATCGTCATAAAACAAGTAAATTAAACAAACAATGTGTGCAAAATTCGAGGGTGAGAAAAATATCAGCTGTTACACAAGTATTAGTTCTTTTGCTGAGATATTTAAACTAGTCAACATATGTGACCAGCCATGAGATATTCAGGCTTATGGAGGTATCAACGTCAAAAATGGGGTTTTGTTTTTGCATTTTTATGAAGTATACATAGATTCAAAACACCCTGACAAGTTATTTTGCTAGATTCTTCAAAATAACAGAATTATGGTCATTTTTGTTATTTTTGATTTGTCACATCTATGTTTATCTTTTATAGTTGCTATGTCATATTTTGTGTGCGGTTTTTTTTAATTTTTGGGGAGGGGTTGTCAAGTCTTTTTTAATCAATCAAAATATAATTGTAGCTTTAATAACTAAATAACTAAAGTTTTTATTTAAAATTAAATTTAGTTTAATATACCAGAATCTGCAATCAAAATAATTCTGACTTTAATATTTTTCTTTCTTTCGTAAGGAAAACAGCATCAATCCTAAGAAAAGGAATGCTAAGATATATAATTAACCATCAACGAGCTGTGTATCATTTAATATGCTTTCTTATGTTCATTTATCATCTTATTGTGAATACATTTTGTACTAAGTCTTGTATCCTGACTAAGTGATTGAATCAAAGATCTGTTAATGCAGAGTAAACTGAAAAATCAAACAGCATAATCAATAGTATTAGAGCATTTAGTTATAAAGGATGTAAAAAACATTCAACAACACATACATCCTGTTTACGTAGTTCTAAGACAGTCATAGATAAATCAAACAAGAAATAAACATGCGATGAGAAAATATTGGGGTCAAAATGGGCAGGTATATCTTGCGTGATTTACATGTACCGGTATATGCTCATATTTTCACTTACAATGTGAAACAATGAGATTTACTCCAAAAACTGGTGTGTGTCCATGCTGCAATCTTATTCGAGAAAGTTATAACTTTTCGGTACTATTTTTTTCTAAATAACATCTCGCAATGGTTAAATACTTTAAACCATTTTATATAATCGAAAACATATAAATGATTCTGAAGAAAGTGATTTACGCAATGAAATATAAAAGATAAATTGTGTGAATTTATAACGCAATTCTAAACGGGATTTTAACCTACATTATTAATTTTACGTTTAATATTATAATAAATCCACTTGTTTTAGATATCTTAATATAAAATTCAAATTTCCTGAAGTTATGAAAAAAAATTAACTATATTTTACCGCATGATATAATAGGACATTCATTAACAGGTGTCCCGATTACGTTTTGTAATTTTACATCGACGTTTTCTCATAATGACGTTTACCGCCATACGCCTAGAAATGTCATGGTGGGTCACATATAAGCAATACCTGTTAACCATTTAGAACATCAACAATGGATAATATTTGCACATTTATTGAGTTTATACCAAGTTTAAAAGACAAATACACGTAACTACAGAATGTCTGTCGTAAATACTTTTATGCTTATTTGAAACATTAAGTGATATTTCTCCTAATATTTCAACTTTATATATAACTTTTTAGCATAAGAAGACAGTGAGATAAAGCCTCAATTGTAATGACGCAAACCAAGTTTTATTTCGCACGGCATCACCTTATCTTGCAGAACATTTGGTGTTAATGTTAAATACAAAAAGATAAATCTCTAATCTAACCTTATTTTGTTAACAAATTTGAACAGCACATACTAAGCCGGTATCCAACGATTAACTTTGAATTTGCAAAAAACTTAGGATATTTTACCCCAAGAATAGAAAACCTGAGCTGTATTTGGCAAAACCGTTTGGGATTTTAGATCCCCTACGCTCTTCATCTTAAACAAACTTTTTGAATATTTTATTTGAGAGTCATTGATGAGTCTTTTATACGAAACGCGCGTTTTGTGTACAGAAGTTTTAGCTTGGTACCTATACGAAGTTTAATTGTACCAGTAAAAAATACAAACAACGCGTTATAACTATTATGCGTTCGAAGCGCTTATCTGGGTTTATGCTATTTCAAGGAAAAATTTATATAAAAGAAGGATAAGGGTTTTAGTAATAAATGTAGAGAACAGGTAATCGATATGTTACCCAGTTATACAATACAGATACAACAAAACAAAGATATCAATATCTAAATGAATTCTTGGCATATATATTTGTAATTTTATTTCAAATGTGACGTCACTGTGTGCGTTGAGGCTTCAGCTAACTCGTCTGTGTATTTTTATATGTTGGATTAAGTTGTTTTATGTAATGTATCCGTTTTTATTCTGTAGTTAGTCCCCACTTTGGTTTTATCATGTATATCTGTTATATAGTCATTTTATAAAATTTATTGTTTGCAAAATTATAAATTATTCTAAATAATAAGGATGTTCTTGTCCCAGGCAGAAAATCCTGGCCGTGTTAGGCGCAACTTTTTGGAAGTTATGGTCCTCGGTGCTCTTCAGCTTTGTTCTTGTTTTGGCGTTCAAACTTTTCTTATCTGAGCGTCACTGGTTGGTCTTGTGTGGACGAGACGCACGTCTGGCGTATTGAATTTTAAGCCTAGTACCTTCTGCTAGCTATTATTCGTGTGTTTCTTTGTCTTATATGTTCTCCCATTTGTTTGTATTGTGGTCCTGTCATGTGATGTTGTCGTTTTGGTGTTGTGTTTGACGTTGCCATAAAAGCGGGAGGTTTGGCATGCCACAAAACCAGGTTCAATCCACCATTTTTTTCTTAAAATGTCCTGTACCAAGTCAGGAAAATGGCCATTGTTATATTATAGTTCGTTTCTGTGTGTGTTACATTTTAATGTTGTGTTTTTGTTGTGTCGTTGTTCTCCTCTTATATTTGATGCGTTTCCCTCAGTTTTAGTTTGTAACCCGGATTTGTTTTTATCTCTATCGATTTATGAGTTTCGAACAGCGGTATACTACTGTTGCCTTTATTTATTATCACTTATAACTTTCTTTGATGAGAATTAGAAAATTTATATAAAGAAGAAGATGCGGTATGAGTGCCAATGAGACAACTCTCCATCCATGTCACAATGTATAAAAAGTTAGCAATTATAGTTCAAAGTAAGGCCGTCAACATGGAGCCTTTGCTCACATCGAACAGCAAACTATAAAAGGGCACAAAATGACTAGTGCAAACCTATTCAAATAGGAAAACCAACTGTTTAATATTTATAAAAAACAAGAAACGATAAAAACCTATGAACCACACCAACAAACGACAACCACTGAACACCAGGCTAATTTTCTTTTCTTATATTGAATATTTTTCAATTTGATATATTACTTTGCAGCTCAACAAAACAGAAGGAATAAACCTTCAAACGATCAAAATACTAATAACAAGCATAATCAAGGTAAATAATTATTTATTTCTTGACAAAACACGCTTCTGGCATTCCAAATCAGTGTGTTTGCAACTACCGGTCGATGCACCTGATACTTGTACGTTTAGTCCCCGGAAGGTTACACTAACTCAATAGTCAGAATTCGGTGAGGACATTTAAAAGCATTGATATGGTTATTATCGGGAATTAAATGCAAATAGAATGTTGAATCACTTTTAAGGCTCAGGTTTTCCCATCTTCAACTTTTCGGAATTTTAGGTTTTTAATAGCCTACATTGGTTTTTGATTTGGTTGATCAATTGTTCCGATTCGGGCGGCAGTGATTAGTCCTGTGTAAAAGAAACAAGTGTCGAGCGTTCCACATCTATAACCCTGTTATCTTGCGTTGGTTTCTTACATGTTTTAAGCACACCAGCTCGTTCTCCGTTAAGGAAATTTAACATATTTTGTAAGTGTTATTCCTTGCTGATAAAAAAACCCTCAATTCATAACAATTGTTCTTTAAATATATTTATACAGAAGGTGTTTAGTACGTGTTTCGCGAAAAGCTTCTCGTGTTGGCTAAAGTGATCTACAAAATAGCTAACTGTTTATAAAATCAGTTCTATCTTTTTTTTGACGTAAACGCTAAATGGGGATATGAAAACATCTTTGTTTTCCCTTTTTCACGAGTTAAAAAAAGGCAACAGTAGGATACCACTGTTCAATAGTAATAAATCGATTTGGCGAAAAAAAATCGGGTCACAAACTTAAAACTGGGGAAGCACATCAACTATGAGAGGAAAACAACGGACCAACAGAAACACTGAACTGCAATAAAACAAACGGCAACATACATAAAAACGGACGATTTGATAACAACTGCCATATTCCCGATACAGGACAGTTTAAGAAAAAATGGTGGGTTGCACCTAGTTTTACGGCTAGCCAAACTTTCGGCTATTAATGCAATGTTACAAATACCGCTAAAATGACAACACTACGTTACAGGAATATAGTACAAATAAACGAAAGAACACTCAGGACAAAAAAATACATAAATAAATAATATAACAGTACATAACAATATGTAAGCTGCAGAATAACAACCAACACATTCCATGAATTTACGACAGCACACCATGAAACCAAAAACGAAGTATAAACTGTGCGTCACATGACTGGATCAATGCCACAGCAAGAGACTTATTTTTTTGTGTCGTTTATATCATCACAGGTAAATTTCTAATATAAAATAGATTTGTTTTATTATAGACACGTACAAAAATATGAAATTGGGATTGAGCGTGTAATGGTGTTATTCTATGTATATTCTAACCATGCCAAGAATATCAAGATGGAACTGTGTTTTGTAATGGTGTTATTATTTGAATTTTTTAACCATGTCGGTTTTTTCTTCTAAATCAAAAATGTGTATAAACTATAACATCCTGTTCTTATAGTGGCTTTATACTGAAAATCCTATAAATGAAATAGCGGATTTTTTTATCTTAAATTTACGTACATTATAGAAAATAAAAATAAAATAACTGTAATATAAGGCAAGATCATGTAAGACCAAAGAGTGAACACACTAACAAAGAAACAATATAAAACAAAACGCTGTAGATGAACTACGAGTAACTAGATAAAGACAACAGTAATATGCCGCTCTTCAATAGACATCAATTGATTAAGCGACAATAAAAGACTATATTGACAAGTAAGACATATGTGAACTGTACCTAAAATACAGAATTCAAACCACAAACGATCAAACATTACAAAATATCAAACTTGATTTATAAAATAAACATCATAAATATAAATATATGAACGTTGGATGTATAAATACCGAGACACGTCTTATAGAAATGCGAATTCACACTCGACCAAACAGTCATGTTCGGTATGTAACAGACAAGACGACGTAGATGGTAAACCCCAATATAAGTCGTAGTAAAAAAGTCGTTAGTTAGTTTAGACACAGACACATCGTATATATCAACCTTTTCGTGATGGTGTCCATAAAATTTACGGAGAGTCATTTTAAATCTTTCCTCCTCATTACTATGTTGAGGCAGTCTCTGCATAAGGAGCACAATCCTGTATATGAACTTCGTATAGTGGTAAGATAATTATTATGAATTCCATAAGGACATTTAGAGGACAACGTACTGATTCAACCAGCATAATAATATCAAGATATTTAACGTCCTTAGTACTAAAGAGGTAAAAAGGTGAATATCGTATTGTATAAGATATCAAAAGAATTGTTTACATCATGTTTTAAAGCACAGAGCAGATTTCACAAATCATCCCCATCCGACACATCATAAACTCTGAACATACACAACTATAAAAGAAACAACCACCAACTCATGTTTTGAAAATTGACCGGTACGCACCAAATGCGATGTGGTCAAACTAAAACTACGCAGAGCATAACCTTTATCCATATAAAAATAAGGAGACATGGTATGATTGTCAATTAGACAACATGCAAAACACAAAAAGAAAAACCTCTAGTTTTGAACTTATTTTGCAAACAAATGGAGCAGCACGTATTGCTCTGTTGTCTAACTTTAATTTTTTTCAAAATACTAAGGATTGTCTAAACCAGGAATAGATTACCTAAGATGTATTTAGCAAAACCTATCGGAATTTTGGGTGCTTAGTGTTATTTAACTTCCGACTTTATTTTATCTTTTTAACTTTTTCGATTCGAGCGTCATTGATGAGTCTATTCTTTATACGAAACGAGCATCTAGAGAAAATGATAAGCTTGGTATCTATGATGAGTCTAATTATCCGGTGATGCTATTTAAGATGATATATAGCTTTGCAGCACAACAAGACAGTAGAAATAAGCCTTTACATCAAAAAAGCAATGAAGGATATGTAGAGAAGAAAAAGTAAATTTTGTTTTATTAATTTTTGAATAGATTTCAGTATGAAAAATAACCTTGCAGCACCAAACGGCATTGGGAAAGAGTCTTCTTATGGTAATGATCCTGATTATAGGCATAATCAAGGTAAATGGTCGTGTATACAAATCTTTAGTTTCGGAAAGTTAAAAAATGTATGACAGAATACAAATGGCTATTTATAACACTGATGAGTTTGCTGTTGACGACACACGCGTATGGCTTACCAAATGATATGTCTGGTATATTCAATGAGTTTAACAACTGTATTCATATGTTGCATCTATTATTTAATATTCAATAAAGCTATAAATGTGAATGGAACATAACGTAGTCATTGCTTATATAACTCATATCGATGCAGCTTATCTCTTACTAACAACTTAAACAGGATATTTATAAAATGTAAAAATGTTGAAATTTGTTGAAATAATTTCGTGAACAGTTTATTCTTGCTTCTAGTTATAAATAAATCAACAAATACCTTTACCTTCAAGTTTCACAAAATGTTTCTGTTTAGGTAGTTTAACATTTTTGATTCAAACGTCACTTGTGAGTCTTTTTTACACGAAACGAGCAAAAATATTAAGCCTGGTATCTATGATGAGTATAATTGAAAAAGTAAATGCTATTTAAGATGATATATAACTTTGCAGGACAACAAGACAATAGCAATTAGCCTTCTTATTAAAAATTTAAGGAGAATATATAAATAAAATGTGGTATGAGCGCCCATGAGACAACTCTCCAATTAGTCACCATGTATAAAAAGTAAACATTTATAGGTCGAAGTACGGCCTTCGATACGGAGCTTTGGCTCACACCGAACAACAAGCTATAAAGGGACCCAAAATGACTCGTGTAAAACAATACAATCAGGAAATCAACAATATATACAAAACACGAGGGGCGAGAAACACCTAAGAACCACACCAACAAACGACAACCTCTGAACAACAGGCTCTTGACTAAGGACAGATTAATGAAAATGCACAGAGTTCACTGTTAACCTAACAGTATTGTGGGAAGTTGGAACAGGTCAGTCATTTTCTGGCATTGCACGGGACAATTTGTGGATATCCACTATCCACGTGCATTGTTGCTTAACAAACTAGCTGCAGAGGCATTGCCTCCTTTAACAAAATTGTACACAGTGCCAAAAGTAGTAGGAAAATTTTGATAGGCTGCTGTAGAATTTATATTAGAAATACCATTTTTTAAGCAAGTGGATATCCCAGAAGTAGGATTGTTTTTCAATTTCTTTCCATTGCGTAATACCATGATTATATAAGCAAGGGTATAGGAAAAATAAAAAAGACTGGCGGATTTAACATTGAATAAGGATCACAATTATGGAATAAGAAATAATAGGCAAAGCAGTAAAAGAATTCTTACAAAAACTGTTATAAAATACCCGAAGAAATAATTCAATATACAGCCTCCGAATTATTGTTTTTACTAATAGCCTTTTTGTAACGAGCCACTACAAACCAGTAAAAGTCTGAAATGGCCTATATCTGTACTCGACTGTACTGATTTGTATATCACCTTTAAAAAAATGATGATCAAAAGAAGTGATTTCTGGTCGGATTTAAAAAATATCATGTAATTTTATATCTTAAATGATATTCAAAATTTTTGGAACATTTCAGATACATTTCTGGTTACTGGAAAATTTTCAACATAAACTTAAGCCTGGTATAAATTTATTTTTTGTCAGTCGGAATTAGTTAATGACGCAGTAAACAGTTTTATTTAAATTCTAAATAAAGCAACTTTATAAATTCTAAAAATGACACTTTTGTTTTTCAAAGCCAACAATTTAATATTATAGAACTTCCCTTCCAAAGTTGCATTACAACTTTAGGTAAAATATGTGTCAGGTAGATTGTATAAGGATGGAAAAGTAAAAGTCAAATCCGGAACAAAAAATACGTAAATACCAATTTAGATGATTTGCATTTATATATGTTTGTATTACAGTATGTAATTAACTAACAATTATAAAGTAAAACTTATCTTTAAGACACCATGTTCTTAAAGATATTAATATACCAGGGTACCGTGTTTGTAAAAGCTGTAGCATTATGTAATTGTAACAGCTTTAGACCAATAAATCAATTATCATAGTAAAAAAAAAACAAAAACAAAAACTTTAGGTTAATTAATTAAGTTTTGTCAGAATTAAAGACATGGCATACAAGAGACACCTTAATAAGGTTTAATTACCTCAGTACAGGTGTGTTTTACAGGTAAAAAGAAAGTCCTATTTTTCTTTAAACTCTTGTATTATTTTGCTAGTAAATTAAAGGCCTTGCGATTTAAATTTTACCAGATGTTGTTTAATTTTTAAAGGAAAATATTTAAAATGTATTACTCTGTTACCAGGTGTGCTCTTTTCTACGAGTGTGTCCCAAGCAGGAGGTATTACCTAATAATAGTTTACCTTTTATCAGAAGAACAATTTAATCATTTCTTCTATTTTTATATCCCTTTGAGATATATATACATGTATATATAAATGTGCCAAATTATAATTAGAATAGATATATTTCTGATATGAGGTTAAACAATAATTTTGACTTTTGATTTTATCATGTCTATTGACTGTTGTTAAATCAGTTAAAACGATAGCTTATGACTATTGTATGTTACCATGAAACCTTTGTATTTTTTATTTAAGAATTTAGGCGAATTAACTGTTGTTAAAAAAACAACATGGCAAACGAGAAGCACCTTTATAAGGTTTTATTACCCTAAGTACAGATGGATTTTCAGGCAAAAGAAAATTTCTTTTACCAAGACTTGGACATTGAAATTAGATAATTTGACTATTTTAATTTGATGAATATGATAATAATGTAAGGATATAAAATATGTAAAAATATCTTCTTTATTTTATTTAGGTAGTTGCCATAAAAGTCTCGAAGATAGATGTATAAACAGTTAGATTAAAAAAGTTGAGGGTTTTGTGTCAAGTTTGGTTCAGACTGGTCGACCGATTTGGTTCAGACTGAAAAAAATCGGTCGAGTTTTGGTCGAGTACAGGTCAAGAATGGGTTAAAACTGTTTCAAACTGGTCGAGTAGTAGTTCAGACTTTTCAAAAGCAAAAATAAGGGTCAAGTATAAATCGGCACAGATGAGTATTGCTAACAACTAATGATTAAGTATGGGGTCAAGTAATATCGAGTAATATTCAGACTTATTCAGACTGGTCGAATAAAAATCAATACAATCGAGAGCATAAATAGGTCATTTCATACTTTTATTGGTTTGTAGTGAGCGCACACCATAAGTCTAGTATAAATCCTAATACATTATAGGAACAAAACAAATCAAAGATACGAACATCCAAATGGATCTATACACTATGAAAATGTTATTGTTATATCATTTGTAACTTTTGTTACTGACAATAAGAAAACTGCTTACCTGTATTTCAATGTCTTTTGGTTTATTACATTTTAAATAGATTTCAGTACGGAGTATAACCTTGAAGCACCAAAAGGCAGAAGGGAACAGTCTTTTTATGATAATGTTCCTGAATGTAGGCATAATCAAGGTAAATTGTTCACAAATCTTTAGTATTGTCAAGTTAAAGAAAGCATTACAGAATACAAATGGCTATTTGTAACACTGATGAGTTTGATGTTGAAGACACACGCGTAATGCGTACCAAATGATATGTCTGGTATATTCAATGAGTGCTATCAACCAATGTGTCGCACTAGTAACCAGGATTTAGATTGACTGGCAAATTAGGTATCAATAGAATAGATAATGGAAAATGGGAATGTGTCAATGAGACAACAACCCGACCAATGAGCAGTCAACAACCAAAGACCAATGATGGGTGTTCAACGCAGTAAGGAAATGCTGCAACAGTAGGCGGGCTTCAGCTTGCTCTTTTTTAAAATAAAAGTCACTGAATAATAAATAATACGATTAACCAAAAAAAATATATATATATATATATTTTTCATTGTTATTTAATCAAATATTCAAATAATTTTAATACCAATTAAATAGATTCCCTATTATGGTAATTCTAGATAATTTAAGACTTGGTTTAGCTTAGTCAAACTATTTTGCCAAGCCACGTTCAACAAAATTAAAATCGTATTTAATCTTTCTTACATTGAATATCTGCATCATTGTCAGATTAATCACTAAGGCAGAAAAATCTACCATTAACCCGTTCCAAACGTTATTGATTTTAAAAGAATAACATACCTCCGACAAATAATCACAATTGAGATAAACCATTTACAAATAAATATTTGTAAATTGAATAATTAAAATCATTGATTTTTAAAATGCAAAGAAATCAATCAGTTGAAACTGAAATTCAAAGATATTTTTTATTTGTCCACATGCATAAGCTCTATCTGAAAGATTGCTGTGAATCTACTCTTTGTGATGTGAAACTATTACTTTGATTTATGTTCTTGCATGATTTGTATAAGTTCTGCCATTCAATTACCGTACATTAACTTTTTCTCTTTTTCTGTATTCAAATCTTTTTTTTTTCATTATTTTAAAATCAATATAAGAATAAATACAAAAGGAAGATAACATATTTATTATTTACATAAATTATATGAATTCATCTTATCTCTTACTAACAATTGACATAGCATTTTTTTTTAAATGTGAAAATATTGAAATTTAATGGATAATTCCGTAAACAGCTTAGTCTTGTTTTATGTCATGAATAAATCAACAAATACCTTTACCCACAAATGTCTGGTAAATTAGTTTAACTTTTTTTTTCGAGCGTCACTGATGAGTATTTGTGTTATACTAAACGAGCGTCAGGTATAAATGTTAAGGGTTGTATCTATGATGAGTTTAATTAAAACAGTTAGTGCTATGTAAGGTGGTACAATGTATGGGAGTTTAAATTTTCGCGCATTCTGCGCAGTATATTGCGTAATAATATCGTAAGTAATATTCATTGTCGTAATTAGCCACTTCAATTAATTTGGATTATTACAATAATCAATTTTAATTAAATACATTGAAGATGGGTGGAATAATTGAAAACTGCAATTTTATAACTTTATAAAGTTTATTGTTGCAATTTTTTTTGTTGCAAATAAAATTCCGTTTCGGAAAAAGGATCATGTTTTTGTCGTCGGATAGACGAGATAATTCATTTAATCGATCACGTGGACTGCTTTTCATGAATACTGTAATGCAGATCGAAAATCATGGAAAAACAATCTTCATGTTGGTAGCTTATGAAGCAGTTTTACACTTGATTTACACTCAAAAGGACCAGCAAATATGCGACAAATGAATGTAAACAAAAGTTAATGTGTCTGTAAAATAAGTATGTTACATCGCCAACCATCAGAGCAATTCAAGACAAAAAACCATTTGATAGCGTTCAATTTATTATCAACGGGAATAATCCTAAAGCATTATCTGTGAACTCCACCCCTTTACAGTCCGAAAATTATATAACCATAGTCCAAATTACTTGTCATAATTGTTCTGGCACCTTGTCTGTTTCCCGGAGGGAAGCATGGGCTTTTTAGTGTAAAAGGAATATTTATTTTGCACTGTTGTAAGTAATCCTGGTTATATTGATCTGGAGACTCGCCATCCTCTACAAAATGGTCAACAACTGTCACGAAATATGCACGAAAAATGCTTCCAGTTATCATCTTTATCCTGTGATTACTGCAAACATTCATTCATCTGGGTGACAAAGCAGAATTATATTCAAATATTTTGGGGAGAGAGGCGGTTCTGTATGTGTACCTAATCCATGGCAGTATAATCAGCTGTTTCAGGAGGACACGAGTAACTTTTGTTAACAAAGTTGCTTTATACAGTCAGGGGCGTTACTTAAACAAGTCATTTTATTTAGTTAACGTGAGGTACCAAAATTGCACCTGTTTTGACAGTTTTTTCGCCTACAATCATTTTTGATACACACAAGTTTCCATTCTGTGTTTATTTTGTAGATGTATCATTATTTACTATATATAGTTCAAACAGTTTAAGTTTGAATACATATTGAGTCATACAAAATTGGATTTGAACAGACCTCCGAACGATCCACGATTCTGTAATGAGGAGTACCCAAATTGCCTCCATGCTTAAATTCACATCTTCAAAATTCCAGCAATAAATAAATTACAGATATTTTTTTTTATTTTCTTCAAATATTTAGAACAGTTTGACATAAGTCCATGCCCACTATTCATTTTTTGAGAAAAGGATGCTCGTAACATATTTTATTTGGTCATTTTCAAACGATGACCTTTTGTTCACGTCGCGTGGCCTCGATTCCGTAAATTTTACTTTTTCGAGCGAATACCTCATCTATTGATATATACTGTGAATGTTTTGTTAATATTTAAACATATTTGCCTATTTGAAAGACATGCATTATGTCAAATAATAATAAAAACAAATGTTAAGTCCATAAGAAAACTCATAAAATGTTCGCTGCTACTTTTGCTTAATAGGTGCAATTTGGGTATTCGGTGCAATTTGGATACGGTGACGTTTTTTATATACTAGGTAATTTTTGTTCTTAAAAATTATCAAATTTAATTTACTAAATAGAGTAATTTTAAATTCCAATAGAAGCATGGACTAAATATAGTTTTTATGAAATTTAACATCATTTTATCACATAAAATTAAGAATTTGTTAATTATGAGAGGAGTATAGAGACACAAGATTACTTTAAGAACAATGACAAAAATATTACTCGTTTAAGTTGTTTTATACATCTTTGAAAGGATTTAGTATTTACAATTATTTAAGGAACATATGTACTTGTTTTGTGTAACAAATTATAAATAACTTCATGTCTTAATTAAATCACAAGTTACTATCTATTTGTATCTATCAACCTCAAGGTTTTCAAGGAAAATGATATTTTAATAGTCCCAAAAGACCAATCTTTGACCCAGAATCATCGACATGAGAGATAAGTGCAATGAAAAGATAAGCAGATGTCAGTTTAAATGTGTTAAAGCTAGTAAAATTTATCTGAATAGACACATATGAACATAATATTTTTAAAAGTTACTTATATAAGTAATATTTAAAACTGCCTCGTTTTCAACATAACTTGTATTGGCAATTTTAAAAGCTACTTGTTTGAGTAATGCCCCTGACTGTTATATATAAGAGTACAAGAATAATTATCACATAACTAAATTGTGACATTTTGCCCAGTGACTCTCTGTCCTACATACTTACTTTTTACACTTAGTAGGTTATATTGGCCAGAATTTATATAATAAAAATATGGTATTTTGTCAACATATGGAAAAGAACATGAACTCTTTAATACATTTTTTGAAATGCACTATTAGGTCCAGGCTCTTATGGTTAAACACCTGTTAAGTCTTGAACGTTTCCCTATGTAGTATTGCAATTGTTTTAAAATTAAATCATTTCACAAAACTTCTTACTGGCCGATCAGTATTTTTGTGGCTTATGCTGTAGGGCATGTTGTTATTATTCTTTTACATGAGATGAGAAACACGTATATACATGTATGTATATTGTTAATTGGTATTTGAGAATTTGCCATATATACCTGTATATTTGGCTGTTGTAAGTATTGAATCTTCAGGTGAAGTTTAATAACAATAGATTTAAAACTGTTTACTAATACAGATTGAAAGTGTATTTCCTTTGCCGAATCTTAATTTTAACTAATAAAATTATACTTTTATTTGACAGTGTTTTACTAGCACAGTGCACTTTCATGGACAGAATGGCTCAAACATTTCAGCATGGTCAGATTGACAAAAACATTTCTTTTATAAGTTTAATTTTACACCAATTCAAATTGAAAAAGGCTATTCATTTCATGTTTTTTTGGTACTAATATTTATTCATCACTTAACAATGTACTTTTAACTTTATAAATAGCCAATTTTGAGCATATAACCACATAGAAAATATGTCTTTAACAAGTCAATAAAGACAATTATCATGATTATACTGACATCATAATATAAAAGTAAGGAAATGTGGTATGATTGCCAATGACACAACTACATGTATCCACCAAAGCGCATATGAAATGGATGTAAGCAATTATAGGCAATCGTACGATCTTCAACAATAAGAAAATCCATGACATGAAAAATATGAAACAATTCAATTGAGAAAACTAAAGGTTTAATTTAAAACAGAACAATTTAAGAAAAACAAATATGACAGACATGAACCACTGAGCAACAGGTTCCTGACTTGGGACAGGCACATATAGAATGTAGCGGGGTTAAAGTTGTTTGAAGGCGCCGATCCTCCCCTAGCATGGGGTAGTGGTGTAACGGCACAACACAAGAACAATAAATAAAAACAAATAAGAGAAAAAGCAATTAACGCCTATCACGCAATTACCGGCTTCTGACTTGGGACAGGCACTTTTAGACTGTAGTGGGGCTAAATATGTTTGAAGGTGATAACCCCTAACCTGGTACAGTGGCGTAACACTACAACAAAGGAACAAACTATCAAAATCAGTTGAAAATAGCTTAACTCATTAAATCAATATGAAGCAAATAACACAGGTATGGTATTTATACATCCTAAAATCAAAAGACATAAAGTACAGATCTGAGTGTACTTGCCAGCTAGTTCAAAGCCAATAAAAACTAATAAAAAATCTTGTATCTATGACTAAAAACATAAACATGTTAAACATATAAACATATATCATGGGAATTGAAAGTGTGTGTCAGATATTTCTCATTTCTAAATTTAAATGCCGTTTCACAATGGATCTGCATAATGTATGATCCTTGACTCACTAATGTAGCAAACGCAAGCAGTATGGTACACAACACAACTTATTATTTTCATAGTTTGATGTTTAAAGTATATAAAAAAAATTTAAAAAACTGGTATTTAATTCTCACAATTAAAGATAGAAGAAACCAGGTTTTTTAATTTTATATAAAAAGTTTATATAAACAATGTCTCGGACAAGTTCGAAAATCAGTGCCGATCAACTTGTTTTAAAACTACAGTTATCCCCTTGGAAGTATCAATTATAAGGACAATTGCATTGTAAGCGCTCTCATGTGTACAATTTTTGCCAGATTTTGATCAATTTTATATCAAAGGTTTGTACAAGCAATGTCTCGGACAAGTTTGAAAATTAGTACCGATCAAATATTTTTAAAGCGTAATGACCCTTGAAAATATTAATTATATTTACGAAATTGCTTTGTATTTGCTTTCAAGCCTTCATTTCTCTTAAGAAATTTCAAGTTTGTTTTTAAATTAAACAGATTGTTATTAACTAATTATTGATAACTGCCTTCAGTTAACTGTTTATATTTCATGTCAATCATCAACTGTCTACGCAGATTATAACACTTTAAACCTTAAAACAAATATTATTTTTTTTTAATGATATGTCTTTTATTTATAATTCAAAGTTCGATATAAATGTAAAAGAATAAAAAAGAAATGAAATACTATTAAACAGTTGACTTGTACAAGATGACCTTATTTTATAACAGATTCGTGACTTTTTTCTTGTGATTTTTTTCTTCTCGGACCTTTTTCCCCCTTTACGCTTACTTTGTATTGTGTGGTAAGGGTGAGTCAGTTGAATTGGTAATTATTTCAAGCTTGATAATATATAGTAAGGTTGACAAATTTTCAAGAAATATATGATTATGTTGTTGGTGACGTAATAAGTATATATAAACCTATCAGATTTTGCAATTTTCAAAGATGCATTTAAAATCAATGTTTTCAATGCATCAGATATTAGTCAAATTGAAATCTATTTATCTGTCTATGAAAACATTATAGCTTTAGTACTACTTTTTGTTAAAATTATATGATAGGGTATGTTTTTTAACATATAAAAATTAACAAAGGGTATGTGTAGTGTATATCGCAGCTGCTCATTCATATCTTGAAAAAAAGATTTCATCCCCTCCCCTCCCCCAAACCCTGCACACACCCCTACAGAGTTAGAAAGTAGTGTTACTTATGGTAGTAAGGACTAAAACAGCCCAAGTAACTTGGGAACTGGATGGGTAAATGTTTAAATTAATCTGTGCCTTTCCTGTGTGATTAATGTCTCCTTTGCACCATATATCATGGTGGTGCTCCTCAGAAAGGAGATTTATATAGCTTACTCATAAATAGGTAAGTCACTGTTTTACCATTGAAAGCCTCGAAGTCTGTTTGATAATACAAACTTCGGCTTTTTGCACACCTTCACATGCTACTTAAAATTATGCAAAGTTTTGATTAATTCTAATGGAAAAATTGTAAGAGATATGTTGGCGCTATTCTAATTGTCTGTGTTTTACAATAGGAAATCCCTAAAATCAACTTTCTCACCTGTAACCCCTAAATGTTATTCAACTTTTACAAAATACAGATATCTGGTTTTTCAATCATAAAAAAAAATGGGATATTTCTGTCTTTTTTTTTTTTTTTTGCTGTGAATATTCAACCAAAGAAGTGTTTTGTCCATTTCCCTATGTTTCATTTAGAAATTAGTCTATTTGCACCTGTTTTTCAGTCGGTGAAAATCTCTTGGATGGCCGGCGACACCAAAATATTATTGTATGTGTTATATACCAATGTAATAAGGTTTAAGTCCACAAAGTATGAGAAAAGTCATTCTTGTTTGTCACCATTTGAGTCAAAGCTATCTTTGAATTGAGTATTTTCAAGAAAGATTGATAAAAAGTTTCCATGCTTACAACAAAAAGTGAAGTTTTCTGTCTTATATGCACGATGACCTGTATTTTTTCCCGTTGATCTAAAGCATATAATATAAGTACTTAATCTCTTAAATATGAGCAATTTCTATTTCTTTTTCAATGAAAATACGATTTAAGCTAAAAAGGTGGCTATTTTCCCTAAATATCTATATAAAATAGTCTAAAATGTATAAAGTTTTGAGATTCCTATAATTCTCTTATATGGCTGGTGACCCCCCATTTTTTATATTTTCGATGTACATATTGTTGGATCTACTGTGCAAAGTTTGAGAAAAATATCTCATTTTTATTTTAGACACCTATACCACCTTAAGATGATATATACCTTTGCAGCACAATAAGACAATAGAAATAAGACTCCTTTTTGAAATGTAAAGGAAGGATATGTACAGAAGAAATAATTCAATATACAGCTTCCGAATTATTTTTTTCACTACTAGTATAATTAATTCAAGTGCACACAATACACCTTGTATACATATCCAACTTCACAATACAAACAGAGATACAAACAGCCAAATGGTTCAATACCCTATTAAAATGTTATTGTAATATCATAATATGTAAATTTTGTTAATGACAATAAGAAAACTACGTACCTGTATTTTGGTGTATTTTGTTTTTATTTTTATTTTTAAATAGATGTTCGTATAGATTATAACCTTGCAGCACCAAAAGACAGTAGGGAAGAGCCATTTTGTTATTATAATGATCCTGATATTTGGCATAATCAAGGTAACTAGTAGTGTTAGTTTAGTTTTGTAAAGTTATAGAAGGTATGGCAGAATACAAAAGCCTGTGTATAACTCTGATGAGTTTGATGTTGACGACACCATGGCGCACCAAATGATATATTCAGTGAGTTTTAAACCACTGGATCGCACTAGTAACTAGGACTTAGATTGACTGCCCAATTAAGTATCAATATAATAGAGAATGGAAAGTGGGAAGGTGTCAAAGAGACCACAAATCAGTCAGCAACCAGAGACCACTGATGGGTCTTCAACGCAGTTACCAATGACACGGGAGGTGGGCTTCAGCTGGCCCCTATTTCAAAAAGATAAATGAATAATTGATAATACGATTAACAAAAAATCTATATGTTTTTCAATGGTATTCAATCAAATTATTTAATATCAATTAAATAGATTTCCCATTCCCCATTTCCATTCTCAATTTTATTCTAATTATGGTAATTCTAGATATTCCAAGACATGGTTAAGCTTAGTCAAACTAGTCTGGGAAGCCCCGTTTAACAACATTAAAATGGTAATTATTCCTTCCAGCCATTAAAGTATCTGCATTGTTGTCAGATAAATCACTTAGGCAAAAAAAATCTACCGTTAACCTATTCCAAACGTTATCGATTTTTTAAGAATGTCATACCTCCGACAAATAACCACAATTGAAATAAACCAATGACAGATAAATATGTGTAAAAGTAACATAACGTTTTCATTGTTTACACAATCATATTGATTCATCTTATAACTTAAATTTGTGTAAAAAGATTAAATCGTATTAAATATAGTTTCTATTTTTGTCAAGGTTTTTCTAAAACCTTTTATCGATTTCAAATTAAGGAGTGTCAGCTAAATATTTCAAGCTCCATATCGTTCTGAGTTTAAAAAAGAATAAAAGTATATCTCTCACTTTGTAGTTTTCTTCATTTAGTTTTCATTTGTTATCATCTCCTTATTTGTCTTGGAAATATTACCTTAAATATTATAGAGATGAACGAGGTCATTCGAAACATTCCCATATTAGTTTTCATTCTGCTGTTGACCCGTGATTCCACGGCCATTTTCTAGTGAAATATAAAATATATATTAACAGTTTACGAAAGCAAAACACAGACGTCACAAATTACCATCATCCGACTGTTCATTCAAATTGAAATAACAAAAAAAAAAATCAACGAAGAATGAATGTGTGAAAAAGCATGAGCGATAGAATGCAGGCACCAAATGTGATGAGGCCAAACTAAATTTTCAGACATGCAGTTTCCCATTTATCTAGCTGTACCATTGTAGTAAATGCCAAAAAAAATAAAATAAATAAAACTAATTGGCTTTGTCAATATGTTGAAAACAAAATTGAGCCACACATAACTATGTAGTTAATCTTACTGCAATGGTTACAGTTTTTTTCTGAATAATCATTTACTTAACTTTTTTATAAATTTTATATACAGATAATACAACATATAACTTTCTAAGTATTGTTTTTACTTATGATATTGTTTAAAGCTATAAAAGCATGAGAAAGAAAAGTATGACATTATATTAACACCAATGATGATTTTTATGTACACGTAACGCATGTTTTGCGTTCCAACGTATAAGTCTTACATTAGATTTTGAACTACTTGGTCGATGCCACTGTAGGTGTATGTTTTGTGGATGTTTGGATCCCGAGGGTATCACCAGTCTAGCAGTCAGCACTTTAGTTAAGTCATGAAACATCATCGATATTGACATTATTTACTGTTTATTAAATGACAACATTTTTAAACAGTGTCATGTTTTCTACCTGTAGGCCTGATTTGTCATAACCGGTTTTGGCAAAATATTCCGGAAGTTTATTGTTTGATTGTTCTTCATCTTTGAATTTAACTTGGGGTTCCAATTGATTTTTATTGAAGCTCAACTGACGAGTCTTCTGTAGACGAAACTGGCGTTTGGCGTACCAAATTATAAACATAGAATAGTTGATAAGGTTTTATATGTACATTGGATTATGTTTTATTTGCGCTATTTTAGCCTACTATTTCACGTTTTATTCCTTGTTTGTTCAGAAATTAGATTAATTTCTTCTGTTGTCTCAAAGATATTTGAATATGAAGCATGAAACGTGTGTTCCGTAAAGAGTAAAATTTAACGTGTTTTTAAACATAGCTTAGTTTTGATAAGATCTCTTTATCTTTAAAGATTAAATCATCAGATATACGAAGCTTGCGGAATCATAATATAAAACCATCTTTTTTTATACATGTACCTAACGAGATTAAGATACTAATGAGGAATAACATAACGAAATTCAGAGGACAGCAACTGCATTTAATTACACATGGATATGTTAATGTCAGCCAAATATGTCAGCTCCATATCGTCTTGAGTTCTAAAAACATAATCAAAGTTTATCTCTGATTGTATAGTACATTAACAACATGTATTATCATTATTATCTTATAGATAATCCATAGTTTACGATATGTCTTGTTGTATAACCCACCAAGGGTGGTCAAGATAAATCAAATGAAAGAACAACCGTAATGCAGATGCAAATGTAATAATGTTGTATAAAACCTGAATGGTAAAGGCGCCAACTGTGATTGGTGAAAACAAATATTCATATGCACAGTCTCCCCTTTTTCTAGCTGAACATTCGTCGTAAATATAAAACACGAAATTTAAAATTATAGTTCAAACAAAATTGAGCATCACATTTTGCGCAGTTGTCCAGAAGTAAATCGTATTTAAACAGTACTGTTATTTCAGAGGATTGATTTTTTATCAAGGAAGGATATTTATTTTACTGATAATTGTACAGAAGAGTTTAATTGTTTAACAGTGTGCTGGTGACCTTATACGATACATATGGGTTCAGTAAATTCCATCCAAGTTCAAATTCAGTAAATTAACTAACCCCATATATATCGTATATATACATAGAAATGGAAAGTTGGAAAGCTGAAATCATCTCAGTTTTGTTTTCCACCGACCCTTAATTGTAAATTTCTAGAAATAAGTCTAGATATGAGACAGACTTAATTGTATCTGTTGTCATCCTTATTTCAAGTTATGTGAATTAGATGTGTTCAACATAGTCACTAAATACCCACCAAAACCTAGTATAAATCCAATGTAATAATGCTTACAAGACAAAACAAAGATACCAATATCTAAATGAACTCTAACACTATTTACATTTTACTATAATATGACATATACATTTCTTAAATGAGTATCAGAAAATAACTTACCTTTTACATGTTTTATTTTTAAACTTTTGAATACATTTTATTATGAATTTGTTTGCAGCACCACAAAGCAGTAAGAATGCGCCTTCACACATTTATCCTCAGGAACAAAGGCATACACCAGGTAAAAAAATTTGAACATAAATGTTTAGTGTTTGAAAATAAGTAAGCCTGACAGTTTTACAAAGCCTGGTTTATCTGTGCTTCGGCGTTAGTGCTCTATTAAATGCTTGCTATGTCAACACGTGTTGTTTTTAAGAGTATTTTGTTCCATTGCTGGCCTTTTGAGAAATAAGAAAAATACAATAACATTAACAGTACCAATTGTTCTGCACCAGATGGTAATTTTGCCAATTAATGTATCCTCAGTGTTTCTTATACAACTAGCACAACATTTTATAAGTTACTGGTGGCTGTGTTGGTTAAATCAATATTCATTTCCTTTACATGGTATATGTTTATATATAAAAAAGAAGATGTGGGTTGATTGATTATATACCTTGAAACACAAGAATACGAATTTTGACCCGAAACGGTCATTTTGATTTGAATACCTCTAAAAGACTGACAAATATATAATTTTCAATCTCTCAGTCAATTTTTTGAATTATCCACTGTTATAAATCCAGTAGTGTTAATACAATTCGCTTGTAGTCAATCAAAATCTGTTAGTCTATGTACAGATTGTTTTGTTATTATATTTTAACCTGTAAATACCTGCATCTTACTCATTTGCTACTGAATTGTACTGTATTGACTGTCTGTGGTTTGTCTGAATTTTTAAAGAATTTACCTCAGTTTGATCAGTTTTGATACCATTATATGTTTGAACCGCGTTTTTTTTATACTACTATATGTTGCAACCGCGTTTTAATTGTTACAAATGGTTTATTGAAAAGAGTACGTTAATATAAAAACACAGAAACGTAAGCGAAAATAAAAAGAAATGAAAACACAAACATCAATGCAAAAGATTACTGAATGTTCCTTTCAGAAATTCCAAAATGGAGGAAAGCTGACTGTCTTTTTGTATCAACAAGTGAAACCTTATATATGATTATCTGAGACGTAGATATTCCCTTATAATAAAACAAACTATGATAGTGTTCTTAAACAATCGAATGTCTGAGTTCAACTATAATAACACTTGGAATCCTTGTTGCAATAGCTTTCCTGGTACGAAGAATATAATAAAACTATAATTTGTGTGAAAAATTATAATGAAGGTTGATTCGCAACCAACGACTTTGGTTTACATGAAAAAAAAAACATTCATCTGCTTCTTTTCTTCTGTCAATACAACAGAATTTTTTTCTGAAAAGATATCTGAATTATCATCTGCCATTTTATATACAGCTGTATTATTTATAGATGCCTTTCAATACAGAAAACTAAAATTGCCTCAAAGTGACCCCAGATTTGGCATGGGCATGAAAGGTAAGCTAAAATTCACTATGTCTAATCAATGTACTTTGTTAAGTACTAATCTATCTTTATATACGTAGCTGAGGAAATTCTGCCACCTAATCATTATTTACTTATTTGGTTTGCCTTTTAGATAGCATTGCTCAGTGTAGATAATTTGCCAAAAAAAAACCAAAAAGATATACAATCGTCGTGAAATGACATTGCAGTTTTCATATATGATGCTACACAATGAAAAATGCTTATCCAATTAAAAATGGGATGTCTTATGTGCCCGTGACAGGTGAATAGTTCCTGTTTGACACGTGACTCCAATTGTTTATCTCTGTAAATACATATTTGGTATTGAGTCAAATCAACTGAGAGATATATACGTATGCAGGAACTCCTGGAATGTTGCTTCATAGAAATGAAAAGTTCACAGTTGGGAAGCTGAAATCTTCACAGTTTGGTTTTCATCCTACCCTCATTGTAAATTTCTAGAAATAAGTCAAGATATGAGGCAGACTTAACTGTTTCTGTCGTATCCTTTATCTCAAGTTTGGTGGAATATATGTGTTCAACATAGTCACCAAATCTTGAATTATTTAGTGAGAAAACATCGTCTTTATAGCTAAAAGTGCTGTTATAAGGTAATGCATACTTCTTTTCTTTCTACCTAAGAAGCTCATGAATGAAATCAGATTTATATGAATAAAAGGACAAGTCGGCAAGTTGTTTGTAAGTTCACTAGACATCAAGCAATGTTGTATTTATGTTTAATCACTGGAAAAAAATGTATCTTATCCTTGGTTTTGTTAAAATCGGGGAAAAGGAGATGAGCTAATGCCAATTATTTTTTTAACGATCGACTAAATCACGAGTGCATTCATAAAATGAATTTGACATAACGATTTGTTACCATGTTTCAATAGCATCCTTGTAATCAAAAACCCTCTATCACTAAATACGTAACATAAAATGCACGTCCTTGTATTCATTATATCGGAACTTTCAGTTACCGTTTCTACAAATACTCATGTCATAGTATACACAACAATTGAGGATATGACATTAACGAATTTTAATTTTCAACACGAGATTCGCATTCGCAGTGATGTTAAGGTTGTTCGCCACTTGAAACTGAACAAATATGCAGTGTTTTCACATGCAGTGTCCGGTAAATAAGATGTTGTCTCCAATCATAGTGTAGTCGGTGTGTATAAAAATATTAGATGTAGTTCTTTGAAGAAAAAAATCGAAATCTATTTTTAGACCCAGGGAAAAAGATTGATTATATACCTTGAAACACTAGAAAATGAATTTTGACCCGAAACGGTCATTTTGATTTGAGTACCTCTAAAAGACTGACAAATATATAATTTTCAATCTCTCGCTCAATTTTCGGAATTCTCCACTGTTATAAATCCAGTAGTGTTAATACAATTCGCTTGTAGTCAATCAAAATCTGTTAGTCTATGTACAGATAGTTTTGTTATTATATTTTAACCTGTAAATACCTGCATCTTACTCATTTGCTACTGAATTGTACTGAATTGACTGTATGCGGTTCGTCTGAATATTTAAAGAATTTACCTCAGTTTGATACCATTATATGTTCGAACCGCGTTTTTTTTATACTACTATATGTTGCAACCGCGTTTTAATTGTTACAAATGGGTTATCGGAAAGAGTACGTTGATATAAAAATACAAAAACGTAAGCGAAAATAAAAGAAGAAATGAAAACACAAACATCAAGGCAAAAGATTACTGATTGTTCCTTTCAGTAATTCCACAATGGAGGAAAGATGACTGTATTTTTGTATCAACAAGTGAAACCTTATATTTGATTATCTGAGACGTAGATATTCCCTTATAACAAAACAAACTATGATAGTGTTCTAAAACAAACTATGATAGTGTTCTTAAACAAACGAATGTCTGAGTTCAACTATAATATACTTCGAAGCTTGCGGAATCATAATATAAAACCATCTTTTTTTATACATGTACCTAACGAGATTAAGATACTAATGAGGAATAACATAACAAAATTCAGAGGACAGCACCTGGATTTAACTACACATGGATATGTTAATGTCAGCCAAATATGTCAGCTCCATATCGTCTTGAGTTCTAAAAATATAATCAAAGTTTATCTCTGATTGTATAGTACATTAAAAACATGTATTATCATCATTATCATATAGATAATCCATAGTTTAAGATATGTCTTGTTGTATAACCCACCAAGGGTTGTCAAGATAAATCAAATGAAAAAAACAACCGTAATGCAGATGCAAATGTAATAATGTTGTATAAAACCTGAATGGTAAAGGCGCCAACTGTGATTGGTGAAAACAAATATTCATATGCACAGTCTCCCCTTTTTCTAGCTGAACATTCGTCGTAAATATAAAACACGAAATTTAAAATTATAGTTCAAACAAAATTGAGCATCACATTTTGCGCAGTTGTCCAGAAGTAAATCGTATTTAAACAGTACTGTTATTTCAGAGGATTGATTTTTTATCAAGGAAGGATATTTATTTTACTGATTATTGTACAGAAGAGTTTAATTGTTTAACAGTGTGCTGGTGACCTTATACGATATATATGGGTTCAGTAAATTCCATCCAAGTTCAAATTCAGTAAATTAACTAACCCCATATATATCGTATATATATACATAGAATCGGAAAGTTGGGAAGCTGAAATCATCTCAGTTTTGTTTTCCACCAACCCTTATTGTAAATTTCTAGAAATAAGTCTAGATATGAGGCAGACTTAATTGTATCTGTTGTCATCCTTATTTCAAGTTATGTGAATTAGATGTGTTCAACATAGTCACTAAATACCCACCAAAACCTAGTATAAATCCAATATAATAATGCTTACAAGACAAAACAAAGATACCAATATCTAAATGAACTCTAACACTATTTACATTTTACTATAATATGACATATACTTTCTTAAATTAGTATCAGAAAATAACTTACCTTTTACATGTTTTATTTTTAAACTTTTGAATACATTTTATTATGAATTTGTTTGCAGCACCACAAAGCAGTAAGAATGCGCCTTCACACATTTATCCTCAGGAACAAAGGCATACACCAGGTAAAAAAGTTTGAACATAAATGTTTAGTGTATGAAAATAAGTAAGCCTGACAGTTTTACAAAGCCTGGTTTATCTGTGCTTCGGCGTTAGTGCTCTGTTAAATGCTTGCTATGTCAACACGTGTTGTATTTAAGAGTATTTTGTTCCATTGCTGGCCTTTTGAGAAATAAGAAAAATACAATAACATTAACAGTACCAATTGTTCTGCACCAGATGGTAATTTTGCCAATTAATGTATCCTCAGTGTTTCTTATACAACTAGCACAACATTTTATAAGTTACTGGTGGCTGTGTTGGTTAAATCAATATTCATTTCTTTTACATGGTATATGTTTATATATAAAAAAGAAGATGTGGGTTGATTGATTATATACCTTGAAACACTAGAAAATGAATTTTGACCCGAAACGGTCATTTTGATTTGAAAACCTCTATAAGACTGACAAATATATAATTTTCATTCTCTCAGTTAATTTTTGGAATTCTCCACTGTTATAAATCCAGTAGTGTTTATACAATTCGCTTGTAGTCAATCAAAATCTGTTAGTCTATGTACAGATTGTTTTGTTATTATATTTTAACCTGTAAATACCTGCATCTTACTCATTTGCTACTGAATTGTACTGAATTGACTTTATGCGGTTTGTTTGAAATTTTAAAGAATTTACCTCAGTTTGATCAGTTTTGATACCATTATATGTTTGAACCGCGTATTTTTTATACTACTATCTGTTGCAACCGCGTTTTAATTGTTACAAAAGGGTTATCGAAAAGAGTACGTTAATATAAAAATACAAAAACGTAAGCGAAAATAAAAGAAATCAAAACACAAACATCAATGCAAAAGATTACTGAATGTTACTTTCAGTAATTCCACAATGGAGGAAAGCTGACTGTATCAACAAGTGAAACCTTATATATGATTATCTGAGACGTAGATATTCCCTTATAATAAAACAAACTATGATAGTGTTCTTAAACAATCGAATGTCTGAGTTCAACTATAATAACACTTGGAATCCTTGTTGCAATAGCTTTCCTGGTACGAAGAATATAATAAAACTATAATTTGTGTGAAAAATTATAATGAAGGTTGATTCGCAACCAAAGACTTTGGTTTACATGAAAAAAAAACATTCATCTGCTTCTTTTTTTCTGTCAATACAACAGAATTTTTTTCTGAAAAGATATCTGAATTATCATCTGCCATTTTATATACAGCTGTATTATTTATAGATGCCTTTCAATACAGAAAACTAAAATTGCCTCGAAGGGACCCCAGATTTGGCATGGGCATGAAAGGTAAGGCTAAAATTCACTATATCTAATCAATTGTACTTTGTTAAGTACTAATCTATCTTTATATACGTAGCTGAGGAAATTCTGCCACCTAATCATAATTTACTTATTTGGTTTGCCTTTTAGATAGCATTGCTCGGTGAAGATAATTTGCCAAAAAAAAAAAAAAAGATATACAATCGTCGTGAAATGACATTGCAGTTTTCATATATGATGCTGCACATTGAAAGAAGCTTATCCCATTAAACATGGGATGTCTTATGTGCCCGTGACAGGTGAACAGTTCCTGTTTGACACGTGACTCCAATTGTTTATCTCTGTAAATACATATTTGGTATTGCGTCAAATCAACTGAGAGATATATACGTATGCAGGAACTCCTGGAATGTTGCTTCATAGAAATGAAAAGTTCACAGTTGGGAAGCTGAAATCTTCTCAGTTTTAGTTTTCATCCTACCTTCATTGTAAATTTCTAGAAATAAGTCAAGATATGAGGTAGACTTAACTGTATCTGTCGTATCCTTTATCTCAAGTTTGGTGGAATATATGTGTTCAACATAGTCACCAAATCTTGCATTATTTAGTGAGAAAACATCGTCTTTATAGCTAAAAGTGCTGTTATAAGGTAATGCATACTTTTTTTCTTTCTACCTAAGAAGCTCATGAATGAAATCAGATTCATATGAATAAACGGACAAGTCGGCAAGTTGTTTGTAAGGTCACTAGACATTAAGCAATGTTGAATTTATGTTTAATCACTGGAAAAAATGTATCTTATCCTTGGTTTTGTTAAAATTGGGGAAAAGGAGATGAGCTAATGCCAATTATTTTTTTTTAACGATCGACTAAATCACAAGTGCATTCATAAAATGAATTTGACATAACGATTTGTTACCATGTTTAATAGCATCCTTGTTATCAAAAACCCTCTATCACTAAATACGTAACATAAAATGCACGTCCTTGTATTCATTATATCGGAACTTTCAGTTACCGTTTCTACAAATACTCATTTCATAATATACACAACAATTGATGATATGACATTAATGAATTTTAAATTTCAACACGAGATTCGCATTCCGAAAGTAAATGTCTCTTCTTGAAATCAAAACATTTTAATACAAAAGTTAACGAAAGAAAGACCTCTTAGTTTTACTTCAAGACCTGTGCATATTTGCAAACTTTGTGTGCATGGTGTTTTGATATCGTTCAAAACTACCTTACGTTCATGTACACAAATATATTGAAGGTTTGTATTAGATCTGTTTGAAAGATGTTCACTTTTATATACAGAAACGTTCTTATTACATTACTTTAAATTCTGCAATATTAATAATAAATATCCACTATTTGCAAGCAGTGGGATCTAAGATACGGCGATCGCAATAGAAAAATCGACATGTTTTTTTCTTCAAGTTACCTATCTTTAGTCGTTCATAGCTTAAGATACACACTGTCGTTTTCCCTAGTAAAATAATATAATCAAAATACCGAACTCCAAGGCAAATTTAAAAAAAGGAAATCCATAAAAAGTGATAAAATCAACAGAACAAGGCAAAAACAACTATCGCATTCCTAAATTCGAACAGGCATTTTCCACAGTAAATGGTGGGTTAAACCATGTTTTATAGCTAGCTAAACCTCCAATTTGTATGACATTTTTTATAGTTCCGTTAATTTGACAAAATTGTTTTTGATGAAAGAATGATTTGTTTTCGTTATGCGTAAAATGGCGCAAAAATAACAACACATCCCTTTTATTAAATAACATTACACTTTTTTTGTATATAAAATACTTTTCATTTGACAAAAGTAAATTATATATAAATATCATTATTTCAATCAGTATCAATTATTTCATAGACACAATTTTGTTTACAGATGACTTTCGACAGCCAAAAACGATTTCTTGCAATTCCCGTCCACGCACGAAAAATATGTTTTGAATTTTAACTTTACACTACTTGTATATTATTGATTATCTTAATATGCTTAACCTCCAAATGTTTTACGGAAGGTTATATCAGTCTTCAAAGTACGTATCTGTAGATTAACAACATTCTGTAACTATTTGTTTAACCACCTTAATTAATTTGTGTATTTTCAAAATCCGAACTAATTTTTTTTCATAGATACAAATAAAGGCAACAGTAGTATACCGCTGTTCAATAGTCATAAATTGATTCGGCGAAAATAAATCCGGGTCACAAAAGAAACACTGAACTGAAACAAAAACAAATGCAAACATACATAGAAACGGACTATTTGACAACATCTGCCATATTCCTGACTTGGTACAGAACATTGTAAGAAAAAATGGTGGGTTGAGCTTGGTTATATGGTTAGCCAAATCTCCCGCTTATATGGCAACGTTAAAATTACCGTTAAATGACAACATTACGTGATAGTAATACATTACAACTAAACACAAGAAGAACGATAAGTAAGTAATATAACAGTACATAACAACATGTAAACCACCGTATAACAATTGACACACCCCATTAATTTACGACAGTACACCAGGACTCCACAACAAAAAATGTTAACTGTGCATCACAGGAATATATCAACGCCAAAAAGGTAACTTATTTTTTGTGACGTTTATTTTATCACAGACGAATGTCTTAAAATAGAATATGAAATTGAGATCGAGTTTGTAATGGTGTTATTTTATATATTTTCTAACCATTACAAGAATATAAAAATGGAATTGTGTTTCCAAAGAGTATATTTACCGCTTCATTGCTATAAAAATGTAAATCACTTTCTAAATAAACAAAATCTTCAATTAAAAGTGATTAGATTTATTGCTGTCTAAGTGAGTATTGAAAAAAACCATTCCTTGCCCTTGAGATTGTGATTTTTCGTGGTATGATCTTATCTTATTATACCCAGGTTAACGAGAATTATAATTGTAACTATGTTTTTAATTTCAATGGTTACATTCCTTATATCAGTTATAAACCACCCACCACCCACCCACCTACCCACAGTAATGGAAAATGGAAGTTTTGAAAACCTGATGTATTATGGAGTAATATACAATGTACTTACGATAGATTAAGCCCAAACAATGACGAAACGATAATATTACGAAAATAACATATGTTTCACTGTCTTAGTTATCGGGGCTCATATATTGATAAAAATTGGTCTATTCTCCCAGTAGTCAATGAAACCCATTCCTCTGAAGGCCCTTTATGCAACAACATATTATTTTTCAGACAACCTATCTGTCAAACAACAAAAGACAATATTTGTAATGAAAATGATTTGTTTCCCGATTTCTTAGTTTTAAAGGAGGCTCAAGTTCGTCAGTAATAGTTGTTGGAATATTATCAAAAAATGACGACGCCTGTTTAATCAGGTATAACTGTATTTCCAACAATTGGGACAATAAGACGATATAAAACGAAAATGTATTCGAATTACAACAAAGGTTTGCAGAATTACGCAATTGTATTTTGGCAAAATAACGCAAAGGTAAAATGTGAACGCTTCAGTTCAAAGATATATATTGGGGAATCCGATAAGGAATGTTCAGTCAACTTAATAGAAGAAAAAACTGTATGTGAACTGTTTATATGACATATTTGTTATATTCCTGTTAGAATTGACGAGTTGTCTTGCCCATTCATAACCTTGCCCCGAAAAGGATCATCACCAGTAACCAAATCAATTGTGGAAATACGTACCTTCATACCGTATATCTTGGAACATAGCATATGCTGTCTTTTTTTAGGCAAAGCTATTGATTCAAACGGAATTCATAAAAACTGATACTAAAACAAGAAATAAAGTAAAACAAAATTAACTATTTAATTATTTCTTAAAAATGTTATCATTGAAGCCAAAACATATATCAATATTTAACTTTAAAATCATCAATCACATAAATGCTTTTCAATAAAAAATGAGGCAAAGAGACATTCAAACTCATAAGTAGAAAATAAAGTAACAACGTTATGACAAAAAAAAAAAAAAAAAAAAGCCCAATAGACAAAAAATAGCAACACGAACCCTAACACAATTCTAGGATCACCTCATGTGTTCCAGAAATGTTAGTAGATCCTGCTTTAAAAGTTGTTCATGTAAGTACAAACCCGGTGGCAGGTATAATTCGGTAGGTCAAATATGGGGAAAAGAAGACGGGGTTGTGGTTACGACAATTGATACATATCTGTTGTCATCTGTGAAACAGATGTTCCATAACGGTCACCCAACTCGTGATGGCGTCCATAAAATTTACGAAGGGATAATTTCAACCACTTGGAATTTTTGGTTTGATAGCCTACTTGTAATGTTTGTACATATATCCCGTATATTTTGTTCCATCGCTTTATAAATTTCAAATAAAATTTCTTAAAAAAGGAACACAAACAAAAACAAATCAAAAAGAACAATCAAACTTTAAAATCGATAAAAGGAATATCAAATCATAACATAGAAGTTTATATGGTTTGATGTAGTAAAGAGCGTCACCAGTGTCTACAACATCTTTTAAAGCCAAACGTAAGCTTCAAGTATTTTATAAGCAACGGGTTGAAGTCTTTCTCGTATAAAATGATCAATCCAGCAAGTATATGAGATACAAGTAGTGATTTTTTATGGACATACCGATTGTTGAAGAACCGCATCATAACGCGACATGTTTGTGATAAAAAGGACAATCAAGCCTTTCGGTGTTGTTTCAGTTTTAGTTTGCTTGTTGTTCGTAGCAATTTTTTGTTCACAAAGTGTGATTTGTCCATTACTGTATTACGTTATGTATGTTTGTATAGGTCTTTAACGGAACAAGATCAGATTATGATCTCGACCTTATGGATAAGTTATACGAATTTGAAGAGATTTAAATAGTTTATATTACATATCAAACTGCATATTCATATATGCCTTGATAAATTTCAAGATCAATTTTTGATGTCAGTGCTTGCATTATCTTTCATCATGCGGAACATATTAAATGAAGAAAATGTCTATTGAATTGATTC